GTTAGAATTCAGCAGCTCGGGAATCGAAATACGATTAATGTTCATTCTCTTTAACGCATATTGATATGAAATCATCCAAACTATAATGAAGATCAAGCTCATTTAGGACTCGTACTTGGCATTGAGCGAGTTTCCCACAAGAAACAAATGCATTATGAGAACAAATAACATTTGGTATGAAATCGTTAGGATTTGGTACTTCTGGAATATTTTCCTCAAATTCATTAAGAGTTTCATTGGTGAATAATGGACCATTAGGAAAGCCAGAATCTAACAAAATCCTATCAGATCTGTGTTTATGATTTGATTCATTCGGCATATCTTCCTCACTTTTATAGGAAAGTTCATCAGAAATATGTGCATCATTAAGAAAACTGATATCTGGTGAACTAACATGAGAAATCTGATAGGTTTGACTTCGAAATAGACCACCATTTGGTCCCGAAATACCCAAGCAGTACTTCGAAGAAACGTTAGACCATCAACATAGGTGATCGATGTTGAGTGATTGGGGGCTTACTCAAGTTAGACCAATCAGCTAACGTCGAAGTCATACCTCACGGTTAGCACCTAACGTGGATTACACCTTCATTGTATCCTGGTACCATGTCTACTTTCATAAACGTACAACACAAACGACAGTATTACAGAAATATATTAATATGAGTATTACAAGGAGCGGAGTGCGACCACTGCTGCATGGGCCAGTTCATGACATGCAATTAACTGATGCACATGGGTTGTATTTGATCTTGATGAGGATAGGTGAACTGTTTGATATTCAGTGACCTGACTGCCGCATGATTCGGTTAGAACGCAATGACATTTTGCTGGCCCTACAAAAACTTTGGTTGCTACAAGCACATGTAGATAGTGAATGTAGGTAACCTGTATTGATGGTCCGTTTACTTGGTCTAGTCGGGTATGGTGTTTCCTCCTAGTTTACTTCGAAGTCGCACTTTGTGGTTGAAATTTAACCAAGCTTATCCTAACGCGGTATACATGTCAACCGTCTCGTTTGGTTACATATTATAATAAGTAGCCTAACAGGGACAACATCGTGTATTATGAAAATAGATTGTGGAAATACAGAGTTGGATCAATGCTCCATGCCTCAGTCCATGACGTGCCAATGAATAATCTTCGTTGGTCACTCTTGATCCTGATGATGTCCAGTATCCAGTTCGGCGTTCAGTGATTCATCACCCATCTTACAAATGCCTTAGCCTGGTGTATGACTTGGCCAGACTCAGAGACATCTCACAGACAATGAACACACTAAAGTATTGTGTTTTGATTGAAACCAGGCGCCCAATCATGACGAAACTGATAATAATTTTTTGCAGAAGCTACATGTGGTAAATTTATTCAGCCATTTCACTCCCTATTTATAGTTCTGGTGTTGACGCAAATTATTCTTGTAATAATATTACGCATTTAGAGAGATAAACGCGCCCTAAGTATTTAACCAGTGTTATTCGAACTGATCGGGAGACCCTGATTTTGTAAGACTTCGTCGAATAAGGTTATCTCATCTGTGTGTTGCAATTCAACAAGTGAGTCATCTGGTGGAACATTAGTCTCTAAAATTACAAACAATGAGAGCGCCGTCTCCGAAAAGATGTTTATAACGAAGCCAAATAAGAGTGGGTAGGGTAAACAGCTCCAACGAACACTCTGGTATTGTCGATTCCGACTGCAGTTTTCCACAATCTATGAACACAATAAGTGCTTACGTAAAGAGACTATACAATGTTGTGTAATTTCTTGGACTTTTTCTATGAAGCAATAAAAAATATGGTATGAAGTCTAGTGAAAATCGTTTTGTTGGCACAATAATATTACACACGAACACCCGCGTTTGTTCTGTTTGCACAGTTTTCTATGGAAGTTTCCGACATTCTATATTTATTCATCATAATTTCCAATACTGTATGACATGAAAGCCCCAACAATCAAATGTGTCATTCACTTTAATATTAAAACCGGAGTTTTCTTTTATTATGCACTCAAATATTATGAAATACTGAAGTCTGTCAACACACAATACAAAACAATACTATACTATGCTACACTATATACTGTGGTGTGTGCTACTTATATTGACATAAGTAGTATATGATGTTAGTCGTGAACAGAAGGTCTGGCAGCAGAGAGACAAGAGGACCGAACAGTAAAGAATGGAAACAGGATGCAATTTGTATGAAAATACAAGAACAATGAAGTTTGAGTCATTTTGAGACAATTGGTGGACATTTTGCAAATTAAGCATTTACTTTATGATTGTTAGATTTTATTAACAAGTCCTGTAATTTTGTGTCGATTAAAAAATATCTAATCCTCACCACTTATGTTTATTAATATTATCTTCAACATTCAACTGCTACAGAACAGTCTAGTTGGTCTTCTCTGCCTGTCACAAGCTAGGGTAAAGGAGGAGGGTTGAGCGTGGGGTTGGCAACCCAGTGCTGTAGAAAAGGTCTTGCTAAAAAACATACGGACCAAGCACACAAAAAATATACACGGACATAGTCAACAAAACCACAGATAACTCGGGCACGCAGGAGGGTCATAGAATTCCTGGCCATGATAAAATCACTGAGTTAATGGATAAAGTTGTTTATTAAAATAGATTGCATAGAAATATACGAGGACTACTGCAGGTGTCTTTCGTTTAACTTAAGACTTGGTATTTTAATTACACTCTTTGTCTAGTAAGGCCATTTATATTTACATATGTGCAATTATACAGAGAAAGTCGAGAACGTTCCATAAGTAATTCCCAAAAAAGCTTTTGCACCGCAAATCGGATTCAAATTATAAAAAAAACATTTGAAACTAGGAAATAGTGGACAGGGATTGCATCCTAGTTTCATTATTAAACTACACACAACCATCTATAACTACTATCAAACACGTTGCTATTAGATACCATTTTTAGTAAATATTTTATTACCAACATTATTTATTGAGATATACCCTCTTCACCTAGTATCAATAAAAATTAAGTTCAGCACTTTAAAATATCCAGCTAAATGTATCTCCAATAATCACAAGGTTAAGGTCGTTTATGGACTAACCAGTGAGTATCAACAAACTGATTTATTGAAATTTTTAAAACTAGTGAATAATCATTTAATAGTAACGTCAATACGTTAGATGCAACTTAAAGTAAGTAAGTAATAATTAAACCATTCCTTATTCATATTAATATCAAATGAAAAGCTTTAATCATTTGTGATGATTAGGAGTAGTTAAAATATTAGTACAAACTAAGAATCCCAGAAATAACTAAGAAGAACTATATGAGCACGAACAAACGTATTGTATTTATAATTCGTAATCAAACAGTCATCAAGTGCAAAGGAATCGTTAGTTCATATAAACACCACATCCGCCACAGCTTAAATTGGAATCTAAGTTTCTGTAACGATTGTACGTCTTCTCCTTAACTTCATCCAATGTCTGTTCAGCAGTGTATTGGATATAGACTCTACACTATCTAGAATGTACTCATTAGTATTAGAGTTAATAACTGAAATTGAAACGGACTCGTCTGTGTCTTGGAATTGTATACAATCACCATGTCGGTTGTGTAGTGAAACCACAGATATCCAGAATTTGCATGATAGACTTTCCAACACTATCCTCCTCCACGAAATAGTGTTGGATTCTTACGTCACAATGTTATGAACAATTTGACGTTCCTAATTTGAATTATCTTCAAATATCTCACACTTCAATTATTACATTATTACATATTTGAGGAAACTGGTTCTCTGACTAATCATTAGAGATAAATCCATTGTGAGAACAAATGACATTTGATATGAATTTGATTTTTGTGAAATATTTTCCTCAAATTTATTAAGAATTTCATTAAACAATTATCGATCATTGCAAAAATCAGCATCTATCAAATCTGCATCAGGTTTTCGATCATGATATGATTCATTCAACATATTTTCCTCAGATTTGTAAGAAATTTAGTCAGAAATATGTGAATCATTAGGGAAAAACCATATCCGGTACAATAACATGATAAATCTGATAAGTTGGTTGATTAGAAACACAATGATTCTGAGTTTCATCTGACTCTGGACTGCCATGTGACTCTATACCGCTTTTCGAAGTATGGATAAAGATGAATGATCATTAGAAACACTCAAATTAATGGGATAGCAATTACAAATTTTAGCATTAGTTGCAGTCAAGTGAACCGTATTATCACAAGCGGACTGAATGTGCCCAATCTCATCACATTTAAAGCATTTAGAATTACAAAACACACATGAATCACATGGGTGAAACTTGTCACAGAACACGCATTTACCAAACTTGCGCTCATCTTCGTGACCTGATTCACAACTTCTCAATGAATCATTATATGAATAACACTGATTACGCTTTGGACTGGGACAGAGTATTAAAGTAGTGAGATTCCTGACGTCTTGATGAATCGTTTTATGAAATTTTTCTCTTTTACTGCATTCGAAATTTGTATACTTTACACGGTCTAGTAGTAGTTGCTTGAGAGTTGTATAAGGGAGCAAAATCGGCTTGTCTGGAAATGCCAAAGTTTTTATTAAGATATATGCTTCTTTTCCGATCAATATTAACATCGTCAACATCTTCCTTGTTCACGAACGAACGTATTGCATTTGGGATTCGTAATCAAGCAGTCATCAAGTACAAAGGAATTATTAGTTCATACAAATACCACATCACCTTTCATTATCAAGCGTTTCGAGTATCAGATGAAACGCTCAATTCGGAAATTACTATAAAGTTTAAACTTTTACCAACTAAGTTGGTCTCATAACATCTCTTATTTGTGACAATTTCAAATGCGGAGAAAATGATGGCTAAAACTAATTAAATAATCATTATTGTATAACATTTGAAACTGTCTCAAATAGCTAGCATGTGAATTCACGATTTTGTAAATACTGTTTCAATGTACGTTAAATGATGGTATGGTTTTGTTTATTCAAATAGACATGAAAAATGTTGATTTAATTGTTTTACGCGCAATCACAACTCAACAAAAACGTTTGAGTTTAAGTAATAAAAAACTTTATCATTTACCATACAACATTGAATTTCTTAACTGGCTTGTAATATTAGATCTACGTTCAAATAGTTTATCTGATCTGCCAATTCTACCAAAACATGTGAGTTTGTCCCTTTCATTGTTTAATATTCTCTATTAATTTATTTATCAGCTACAATCGATTAATTTAGGTCACAACTGGTTTACAACAATACCTAATTCTGTATTTGAATTGACGTCACTCAAATCAATCAGTATGTATAGCAATCAACTTCAATCTATTCCAAGTACACTTTTCGGTAGTTGATATCTACTAAATAACTTAAATTTTCTATAGAACGGTTGGTTAATCTTGAATACATAAATTTCAATCATAATTACATTAATGCACTAAATGACTCAATATCCAAGTATAAAAAAATATCATTAATTTACTTTGTTTAGTTTAGCCCATTTGAAATACTTGTCGAGTTCACATAATAAATTGACGACACTACCAGAGTCAATGTGTTCAATGCTCAACAAATTAGAATATTTAAATCTAGGTTATAATCATATTTTGACATTGCCATTTAATTTTGGTCTACTACAAAACATGAAAACACTGCTTTTACATAAGAACTTTTTAACACGATTACCTGAGGTAAGTAGTGTGATATTTATTTAGAGAATTTGGATTTTAGACATTCGGGCAACTGAAATCACTAACAGTTTTAGACTTAGCTGGTAATAACTTACAACTTTTACCATCCAACGTAAGTCACTTTATAAAATGGGGGTTATTTTATGAGACTACATTTTATGATGAAATTCGCTTTTATTACTATTCAACAACTGCTGTAGAATTACAAACAGTTAGCGAGATTAGTATATCTGTTTCATCTTAGTACTGAACTTCTACGAAGTCTAAATCCATGACGCATCATAAGATCAAATCCAGAACAATCACTATTTATTCTCACGACTAAGTCGAAGTAAACGGTAGTAATTTTCAACTTCTGTCAATCTAAAATGTTACTTTAACATCATTCAGTGAGGAATGATAAAAGTTGGTAATATGAATCGTTGCACTGGTTTGAAAGCACTGTGCTCTCCATAACCGGAATGTCCTAGATTTGATTTTATGTAGAGTTATTAATCTACAATTCTAAGTAGTCCGACAACGAAGTAATTGTCACATATATACTTGTTCTTAATCATTCTCCAGATGACGTCAGTTGATGATAATAAATGCTAACTTCAAACCCGAATAATGTTCAATCAAAGTTCAGTCTGAATAAATTATGTTTTGTTTTTCTATAATTCCAGTTTACACAGTTGAAATTAAAAGAATTCTACGCTGAAGCTAATCCATTCACACGAAACGATTTATTTACTTCAACGTATAAAGAAAATGTTTTAACATTGAAAGTAGACTGTTTGATATTCACTTTATTTTGATGCAAAAATTTTTTCATATAGGAAATTGTCTTACGAAAATTATCCCGTTTAGGATTTATTGAGTAATATTTAACTTTATCTAAAATGTATTATTCATATTTTTAGTATTGGTGTTAGCAATCCTTGGTTAGAAAGTATTATCGGATCAAAACAATGGCAAACAGCTGGATTTTGTGCTCTATGTAAAAACCCATTTGTAACTTGGTGGTTAGAAAGTGTCCGATTTGCCAATCGTAAAGAATTAGTAGGTTTTAATGTAATCAGTTCATTCATATCTATTATCTAAACAACTTTCTTTGCGATTTAGGATAGTCGATGTTGAGAAATTGCAAGAAGTATACACTGATGTAGTTCGTGGTCAAAAGCGAATGTGAACTATAACAGAGACTTAACACTGTTTACACTGTATTTTGATGTAAGGGGGTTGATGATAATCGACAAGAAACTCTAAATCTCCGTTTTCGTGATAGTTGGCGCTCATAAGCAAGCTGTACTTTCGATCTTGAGGAAAGTGATTCCTCCAGTGTGATTCCGACTCGAGCTAGTCACAACATGGATATGTGTGTAGTAAGTACAAAAGTTTTGAAACTGCGTGACATGATTAGTAATTCCACTGAGAATATGAGTTCTCTAAATATTGAAGGTATTTCTTGCCGATGATTCTATAGCAGATCACGTGAAACTGAGTTTGTTGACAATTAATTCAATTAAGTCATTTTATTAACTTATTAACGAACTGAGTCATCCGTACAACTACTTACCTAAATCATTGTATCTTTATTGCTATTGCGAATGTATGAACATGTACGCTTGAATATTGCTTACGGCCCACGCATTTATTCACTCTGCTAGTCTTACTACTAACCGCTTATTTGATTCGATGACTCATTCATTTCACTGTGTATATATATGTCCATGTTATTCATATTGATCGCTTGCTCTGCTTTCTCGCTCGATTGATTGTACTCGATTACTGATATTCGCTCATTCGCTTGCTCGCTTGCCTGTCTGCCTTTCGGCACAACTCTTAATGCTCGTTTAATGCATTTGTAATTTTGGACATCTATGTGTGGTCTCGCAATAAACGTAATCAACGCTTCGTATTCGCCTTCTGATTAATATACCGTTGGGGTTATCTAGGACGGTTATCAAGACGAATTGTATACGAAGTTTAAGGAATATATCGAATACCGACCACCACAATTCTTAACCAACACGAAAACTAGATTCAGGAATTTCCCTGCTGCCTCCAACTACTTCTCTTACAGACATATGACGGATTTGAAATTTTGTTAAATAGAATTTTTTCGATAGACTTTATGGTATGACGTAGAATACGGCATATATGTATGATCGAATTAGTATATGGTTTCGTTATTTTAGCAAAATGAATTTTGTTTAAATTGACATCTTGATATTGATCTCAAAGGCTACCAAGGACGGTCTCAGATAATATGATTAGTAGTTAAATTTGGACTGGTTAAAAGTTTACTCACTGACTGATTCCGTGAACGGCCCTCAAGTGATATATATAATTACTTATCATAGACATATTATATATTTTATGAAATATTTAGCTATATTTAATACTGTTATTGACAGAACCGCATAACTACTTTATAAATCTAGCAGAATAAAATTTTCTTTGGTTGGTTTTATTTGTAGAAATTATCATAGTTTGAAAATAGTTCTCATCACGAAAAGAATATTAGATGAAATACGGTTGAAAATTAAGGGGGCAATAGGCACCAATTCTATTTTGTTTTCGACTCCTCAACAATACGCACTCGTCAAAACACACAAAATTAGACTCGAAACCAACACGTTTCACAGTGAATATGATGCTTTACACCTTCAGAATATTAAGCACAGTTCCAAACTTCATGTAAACTAGTTCTCAGTCAGCTGCGAGAAACCACTTTACCTATGGCTATGGAAAATTTTCACTTAGCAAAAAATACAGCTTTACTTAATGGGCTTTAACAGATTTAAAGTTATAATTGATAAGCGCTTGCATAATTCACATGGATTGATGGGACAATGTGATAAACTTTCTTGTCAGATCACTCAGATGACGTAACATTATGGATTAAAAACAGAAGTACGGAAATATTTACTTCAGTTGTCAATAGCTTAAATTTTTATTATCTAATTAAACTATTTCTTATTAATAATCCATTTCAAATTGATATAAGTCAGGGTGTTTTACAACTTTGTTTCTTTGTTTTACTTTCACTTTCTTTTCCTAAAACATATAGATTATCTCTAAAAAATTTCAGTTGAACAAAGCATCTCCAGAAGTATTATATCCGTTAAGGACTTTATTTTGCAGTTATCATTGCTTAAATTCAAGCGGAAATTGTTACGGATTAAGTGTTGGTTAATGTTTTGTCGTAACGAATTTACTCATAGTGATGGCGAAAAAAATCTCAAGCTCAGAAGGAAGATTTACAGTGATGTGCACAATTGAACTGCATGCTTTATTCATGAAGTATTCACTGCCTTCCTAGGCAATATCATCTTTAAATTCTTCTAATGATATGTAACTTGTTTCAAAAGTATATGCTGATGTTATTGTCCAGAAAAACACTGAAAACTTCATAACTAATTGTTATGGCCCAGTCGCCTGTCTTTATTACCTTTAATCGCTTTTACCCCGTCGGTACTTGGTTATGACTTGACATCGATCTATCTAGACTAGATTATGACCTTGATGCGATAGACTGAGCGGCCTAACCTGGAGTATAGTACGCATGAGTTCGAGATGGGGTAGAGAGAGAACTATTCTATAACCTGATTGGTTGGCAAACACACAAGTGAGAGAAGACAAGACAGTTGGAACACTGAATTCTGAATTCTCTGAATTCGGGTTAGTGCAAAAATGTACATGAATAAGTGAATATCCTGACCACAACCTGCGATAATTTGGAAAAATACAATTGTGCCCGAAACTGGGAATTAGGGTAGGAAATAAGATGCAAAATAGTATGTTTAAATTACAATATTTTCGGAACAAAAAGGGGTATGGCAGTGAATGTTACATAGAATGAAAGCTCATGTTATGTAGAATAAAATAGAGACAGAAATAAATATAAGTGTTTTACAAGGTTTGAATGAAATGAAATAACGTCCCAAGAAAATAGCTCTCGTAGTTTCCCCGTTCACAACACTAAATCATAAAACTCATTGAACACAACACTTTCAAATTACTTTCAGTGGTACCATTCGTGACATTATCTTTCATTGTCCCCTTTTCGAGAAAATTTCAATTCATGGAACCAATATTTAATCTCATGGTTTCTTTATCTCAGTCATTCGTTTATTCCAAATGTAATCACTACTTTACAAGTTATTTTATTTATAATTCCGATTATGTGTTTCAGGTTTTCCAGAGCTTCTTCTCCCAAAATGCTTCCTTTTTTAAAAAAAATTAACATATAGTAAGAATGAATAAAACTAGTTTTAAAAAAATTAATAAATAAAAATAGATGTAATATAACTACTTATATATATATAAACACCAAATTTAACTTTTTTGAAAAAAGATTGTTGATTAAAACAAAACACAAATCCCAGATGAATTCAGTGTGAATTGAACAAATTCGTAATGCGCTAAAAATTGTGAAAAAAGATTATCATTCATAAATAATAAATGCATTTTTGTTATATCCCAATGAGTAAATACTTGTATTTCTGGCATTTCCTGACCTAATGTAAGCCACTTTTTCAGAGTAAATAAATAATCGAAATAAAATTAACACAGGTTTAAATAATACAAAGGTTGTCTATTTATCCCGAAGAAGTGGCTTACATTAAGTCACGAAACGTCAGTAATAAAACCTTCTACTCATTGAGATATGACAAAAAATACATTCATTATTAATTTAATTTATTTGAAACTATAAAGTCCAACCTTCGCGTTGATACTCACATTATTATTCATTGTTTGTCTCATAAAATACTAGTATTGTACCAAATATTATCCTCAAACTAAATGACATCCATTTCATTTGAATTCCATTTAAGATAATCACTGGAAATAAATTACGTTCATATTCTCCTTTTCAGTACTGATCAAAACTCGATAGTCATGGGTCGAAAGCATAATAACCTCGTGCATGTCGAAATACGAATTGAAATTGTTTTAATAAGACATCTAAGACAAACTAAGACGTGCATACATTTTAGGCATACAAAGTTTTAATGCATTTGATGGACTAATTTTTCGATACTGCTTTAACCTAACTTTTGGATTTAAAAAGAAAAGACCATTTGCAGGTAAAGGTCGATTGTTTGACTTCATTGTAAAAGATACTTGGTAAATTGACTTCAATCGACAAAACAAATGACCGAATAGTGATAAATCAATATTTACCTAGTTGTCAATAAAAATGTATTGCATTTGTTCCACATGGACTGTCTACGCTTGGTAGTTTGATAAAAAATATCTCTCTTCGTTTCTCATTTCATATGCCTTCAGTTTTTAATTATCATCTTTTCTTATGGGTAAAACATTGTTCTGAGGTTATTATTATTATTATTATTATTATTATTATTATTATTATTATTATTATTATGTATAAGTAGTTGTTAACAACCCATGATTTTGTTAAAAATTCATAGTTATAAATGTTACGTGAAACGTTTTCCAGAAACGTGGAAAATATTAGTAAAACATGACAAAACTTACAAATTACTTAATCAATTAAAACGAATATTCACCTGTTTAATCTCAATAAATGGTTACGATTGGTAATGAGGTTAGGTTGAACCCATGGTAATTGCTATGTTACGAATGAATAAGATTATTCTAATACGGAAACAATTTAGTATGAACTTAACTTCATATCGATTGACACAAAACAGCAATTCAATATTATTAATCCACACTCTAGTATGAGAGGGAGAGACTAAATGGGACTTTGGGGATAGCTTTATATTGGGAATCAAAACTGAAAATTGAAATGATAAGTTTCAAAATCACTATTTAAACATGATCAAACCATCTATTTAGTACACAGTTACTTTTCATAGACCTTATGTATATTCAAAAAAAATTGAATTTGATTGTTTCTTTGAGAGGGTTCAAATCAGAATACTAAACAAAATGCTGTATTTGTCTCAAATTTTAGTCACTGAGATTTTAAAAAATATAATTCCCTTCCTAATGTCTTCCGTACAACCGGGGCCCAACTATCGTGAAACGATTTATCCAAGTTTGAGCGAAAGTTCTTACATGATATCAATTTTGTTGTAAGTTTGTAATGTATACACAAATGTTTTGTGTAATAATTCAAACCGAAGCAAATGATCAATCACATCATTTTATAGTGGAGTATTCGTGGAGATCGTTAAAATTTGTAAATAATGACAGAGAGGGACCACAATCCAATCCTGTTTGTGAGTCTTACCGCCAAAATAGTTGCTGAAAATCATAGTTAATTATGATTAATTAAAAATATGCTGACGAAATCTTTCAAGAGGCATTTCATGCTGCTAAACTTCTCCTTTCGTCCTATCATTTGTGGATGTATAAGCCATATACTACTTACTTGGTAAGCATCAATCTGTTTTTACAAGTTTAATTACCAATATGGAGTACATTATACTGGCTGCAGAAAGTTAGATCTCTATAAACGCGTCTCCAAGCCTCACGCTACGTGGCTTTCGAAAAAGAATGTCAAATAAACTTTAGACAAATATTGGGACATATTTTCAATTCTGATCAAAGTATCTCATAGGAAATTGTAGTGGCTGGTCCTATGTCGAGCCTACATAGCTCATTCTAGCTTATAGATAAACCAATTTATCCATTCTTCTTAAGTTACATTTTGACCTTGGCTGTTTTTAGATGAGCATATGTGTGTACATCTTATCCTACTAATCGCACGTCTGTAGCTTATTTTTATCTGGTTATAAATATTGATTAACGCTTGATTAAATCGGGATGGGTCACACGCGTTCTCCACTGTGTGTCATTTCGCTTCGCTCACTTCTCTTCGCTTTCTTCACTGCATCTCTCTGTTTGTCTGTTTCGACCAACGATTGTACAAAATATACGTACAAGAATACGAAGAATCTGTAGCGCTGAGATCGTAGACGAGGAATTGGGCCTCTTAAAAGAGATACTTATCAAAAACGGGTATCCTTCGATATTCATTGATAAGAATATGAAGCCAAAAACGCCAAAAACACAAATAATCACAGTAGAAAACAAAACTTTATACATGAACATCGACTTCAAAAGTGACAGAGCCACATATATCTTAAAGAGAAGAAATTCTGATTCCTTAAAAAGAACATTCTTCACAGCAACTTTGAGAATATTATTCTCCAGCCGATCAATGCTCACCAATAATCTGAAAGATAAATTATCTCATCTGACC